GTCGTTTCCTCGTTCATCACTTGGCACTCGGCTTCCTCATAGCCCGAGCTAGCACCGCAATCATATGGCACTAACAGCTCCTTCCCTTGCTTCTTGCTCTCGAGGATCACCTCGATCAACTTGTCAAGCTTCTCTTCAAGTGGAGCACTTACTCCCACACTTCGCTCTCCTCTTTAGGTGCTTCTCTTCCCACTTCTTGTCGAGCCCCAATTATATCCCTTCAGTGACATATCTTCGAGCAACTCGGTCACTTGAGGTGGGGTCATGTTCATCAACTTCCCTTGGAAAAGGCAGCAGTCGATGAGGATCTTATCATCTTGAACGAGTCCTCCATAGAAAGTCTCTATCCGAAATTACTCCTCAAATCCATGGTGAGGGCATTGAAGGAAGTAGTCGGAGAATCTTTCCCATGCATCCCTCAATGTCTCATCCTCCTCTTGCTCAAAGTGAGTGATCTTCTTTCTTCACTCGGCCGTCTTGGAAGGAGGACAATATTGGGTCATGAACTTGTTGAGTAAATCGTCACAAGAGGTGATGGACTGAGTCGGACGGTTATTGAGCCATCAGAGTTCCTTCCCCGCCAAAGAATAGGGGAAGAGCCTCAATCCCAATGCCTCATCGGGGATACCATTTATCTTAAAGATTCCCGCTAGCACAAGAAACCTTTGGACATGCTCTCGTGGTAATTCATTGGCAAGCACATGAAAGTAGGGGTTGTTTTGAATCATCGTCACAAGAGCGGGCTTGATTTCAAAGTTATTGGAGGCCACGGGTGGATGTAAGATGGGAGATTGGATATCCGTTGCGCGTAGAGCCATGTAATAGCCCATAGTCCTTGGCTCTTCCTCGGCTCCCGCTTCCACATTTGGGTTTTGAAGCGAATTAGCCCCTCGATGTTGATTACCTGCCATCTCAACATCAACTTCTCCTTCAATTCCTTCAAATCTAGGACCAACTTGTTGTCCCCTCTCTTAAATTCTCCTTATTGTCTTTGCTTGCTCCCTCTCTTGAGCTAAAAGTCGGAGAGTCCGGTTGATGTCCTCGTCCAGTGGTGTTAAAGGCGCCGGATTGCTCCGGGTCATGCACCTCCCTACACACACTTAAAGAACACAACACGTCTAGCACAAGCAAACTTCACACTTAACAAAACTGAAAATAAAAGCTAGATTAACACCATACAAACTTTTCACGATAATGGACAGAAGCTCCCCGACAACGGCGCCAAAAACATGACTCGCCCTGACTATCACAATAAAATCCCACCTAAGGCCCAAGTATAAACCTTAGATGAGTGCAATATAGGGCAAGTATGTTTAAATATCAACCCGGGCCGGCCCATGAACCGCTACTTCGATTGTTTGAAACATTATCTAGCGGATAGTTTTGGTGAAAACAAAGGTCCAAATCTAAAGTACTTTGCAAAGATCCCTTTAGCTCCAATTTTAAAATTTTCCATGAACTTTTTACTTCCAATAGACACGATGAACTCGTTATTTGTTGATAAATCTAAAAAAAATTGAATGAAGAATTAAGGTGGTACTAGGGTGGTAACGAGTGGTATGGATGGTACGATGTTGTAGGCGTGGATCTTGGCACCCGATATTATCGTAACAACATGTGATTTAGAAAATAAATAGGGAGAGTATTGGACGAAGATTAGGGGAAGAAGGGCAAGAAGTAGGCCGATGCTCGATTTAGGAAGAGAAGGGAGGAAATTAGGGTTGGGAAGATACGTTGAACTATTCTGATTATTTCTTGATTGGTTCATAAATAAATGACGAAATTACATTATATAGGCTTTAGGCTAACCCTAATCGACCTAACACAACAAAATACTAAACTACCCCTCAAATACTAAGCATACCCTCAACAATCCACCCCTCTTGAAAATGACATTGTCCTCAAGATCGTAGTCAACCCCTCTATCTTTCCTCGGCTTAACGTGATGCCTTGACGTTGGTTCAATAATGACTTGCGCTTCCTCTTCTTCCAGTCACGTTCAGGTGCTCAAAAAATGAGCCAACTGAATTCTCCCATGTTGCCAGCCGCTTCTATCAACCCTCCCACTTGTCGAAGAAGAGGGTATCAACCTTGCATCACACACAGGTAGCTCCCTCATCCTTCAAACTTGAATGATGATCGCTTTCCATCCAGTACCTAATTGCTCACTCCTTTCTTCTACCTTGCGTGCCTTACAAGGGGTAACAAGGTTTACAATGCCTACCTTCGCAACATAGTTTTCCACGCATGGAGCATACGAATAACCTCCAACACCCACCTGCCAAAACCCACTTCTCATGCCTTCCTCCTCTGTCACAAGAGTGCTCCCTACCGAATCCACAAGGTTGAAAGAGTTCCTCTTTTTGCTGATCGTGATGGTGACTCAAATCTCTCCCCATTCCCTTATGCACTTCGCCTCCTACATGAGCTTCACGCCTCAACCATGAAACATTACATACCACTTTGGAACTCCAACTTAAAGTAGAACGGTTACTAACCTCTCAACTGCTGAATCGGAATAAGTTGGTATGGTTGAACAACATTATTTGTCTCATCATTGCTTGTAGTTGGGTTGATGTCAACCACCAGAATTACTATTCCTGACTCAGTCATCCAATTCTAGTCCGAAATGTTGTCATTGTCGCCTGCAGATGAATTTGGAGTGTCATGATCAAACAATAATGGTTTCCCGCCATCCGGAATTCCCTTTATTTAAGCATGCGACCATCAAAACAATGAGTGGCATCCGAGAGAGCAAATTCGAGGCGAGAGAGGTTGCACAAACTTACCTTATTACTTTCCAACGCAATCGATCATCAAGCTGACGCTTCCTCCCATTATCATTCTTCCTACCCACATCGGACTCGTCACCTCCCTTCTCAATCCTCTTCCCTTATTGCTTATTCCGTTTCAACGAACTCGGAAATTCCCATTGGGGCAACCCCATAACTGCCTTTGTAGCTCTATGGTAATCACTCCCCACCTTATCATAGTGATCAGGAGCCTCATGTTATTTTCTCCAACATCCATAATTCCATTCATAATACTTCATCCCTTACTTTTGAACTTCCACTTAATGATACAGGCCAAACAACTCTCTAATTCTATAAAACATAAAGAGTGGATACCCTTTATTGCTCTATATTGTTTCACTCTTTGTCGTTTGTGCATTTCTAACAACAAGTTTCTCGTGCCACTGCGGTTTGCGTCTCGAGGCCGTTGGCTGCTTTCTCGCGCCATCTGCCATATTCCCTGTACTCATATCCTGCGTCCTTTACTTTCCGACGCGTCCCTACTCTGCTTTCGGTTGAACTCATATTGGCCACGATTACCCAGCTTCCTCTCGACTTGGCTCTCACTTGCGCTATGAAGTCTGATGGCCTCTTCCTCCCAGCTCACTATGAATCACACCGACCTCTCCAAACTGACATAGACGGACAATGCTCCGGTGCTAAAATTATGGCTTTTCCGTACATGGATTGCCGAAAATCCATGACGGTAGGACGGATTATCTGAGTTTGCGACCTTGTGGACGGATGAATTGGTGAGTTTCATCTCACTTGGCACCCTCCAACTCACGGCCTCACTTCTCTTACCCATGTCTTTCCCCCTTTTTCCTAGGGCATGTTGGTTCAGGGACATGCATCGCGCCAGCTATCTTCCCACTTTAACGAAAGCCTCATTGTTGGGAAGGTCTACTTTGTCACACAATTTGGCCAGCGTGAATCCAGAAGGTGCTGGGCGGCCTGCTCGAATGACAAGACCCTGCATTTCACTTCCAACACTTTGTTCATGCTCTCCAACCAAGATGACTCCACCTTTTTTGCTGATAGTTTTGAGTTTCGACAGTTTGAAGACCTCCACGCCCTAGCATTGCAACCTGCTTAATTAGTTGGTTAGTCTCCTTTTCTCCCCCTCCCCCAAGTTAGCTACATTCATTTATCGGTCCTAAACAAATTGCATCTTCACATAATTCTTTACTATGTGTTTCTACTTTTCTGAACATGCTTCGGTTTCATGGCAGGGAGATAGCGAGCCTGGTGCCTCACATGGAGGTTTAGGCTGGCGTTGAGCTCTCTATCTTCACAAGAAGGCTACAAGTGTTGCGGAGAAGAACGTGTTGAACTTTCAACTTGGTGGTGGAACTTTTGATGTTTCCCTGCTACCAATTGAAGAGGATATCTTTGAAGTGAAGGCAACTGCGGGAGACACTCACCTTGGTGGTGAGGATTTTGACAACAAATTGGTACACCATTTCATGCAAGAATTCAGGAGGAAGAATAAGGAGAGTATCCTTACCTAATATTATAGGAATTCAAAACTAAATTAGTGCCACATAAGCACATGGCTAGCTCTCATTCATCCAATGTGGATAACCTCTGATAATAATTGCAATATTTTTTTTTCTTGCACTTTAATGCATCATTATTAGAAATAAAACATAAATTGAGTTAATAACAATGTTAAAGTTCCAACCAATGCAATTTTTGGTTTTCTTAGCTCTTTGTTGAAAGCTTCTCTCTCAAAAGAAAATCCAACATTGAAAAGGCAAAAAAAAAAAAAAGGATCAAGTTCCATAAAACAAACAAAACTCTCTTCTTATTTACTAAATTATTTTTTAGATTTCTAATATTTATCTTCTTTACTTTTTACACAATGATAAAGGAAGGACATAATATTACATATGTGGTTTTTATTGTTTGTGGATAATAGGGAGGGAGTTACATGAAGCATGGTTAGATGGAAAATGATTGAGCAGTTGTAACATATTTTTGAGTTGTTGACGGGGGGAAAAATTCATCGTATATTTGTCAACACAAAACATTGTCGACCATTCCCTTTTCCCCTTGATGCACAACTGGTGATTGATCTCTCTTCCCCAACAATATGTGGTTGCCTACGATTAACTGACTGAGTTCTACTCTTCTGCTCATCATGTATCTCTTCCCATTCTTTTCTTAATTTCTTCTAGATTATGAAGGTGGGGTCGTAAGGTTTTCACTAAATTTTGCAAATGTATTTCTTCTTCATTTTCCAAGTAGTTTATTATATACGAGGAGAAATCCGTCTTGCGACAGCAAACCTCAACCCCAATAGATACCGGAAAACTCGGGAAAAGTTTAATACGAGCTTACAGCCTTGGCGGTGGCCACCAAGGGGTAACGCAAAAGTGGCGATTGCCAAGGATCGATCAAGGACCTCCTAGACACAATCCTGCGCCTTTACCACCTCTACCATCCCTTGGTGATTTCCAAGTATTTTTATATGGTTCTCTCTCTTGCCTTATACTTTTATAAAAATAGGTAATAGATATTTGGAATGGTTAATTTATGGGACTTAGAGAATCTCTCTTTGGGTTGAACAAGTGATCATTTATCTTGGAGGCCTATCACAACATGATTCCTTGAATGCTAAATGGAAAACAGAGTTATGAGGGTTGTCATCTTGCCAAACTCCATCAGAGGATGTTTGTTTATGTTTGTTATGTTCAAGAGCAACATGCTACTACCTAGCCATATAATGGTGATACGATAAGTGAGTAGTATGTAGCAGTGGGGTTATAAATAGAAGGAAGTATATGTGGGATTTTTAAAGGTGATGAAGAAAAAATGGTGGTGGTGATCTTTAGGTTGTCTGTGTCGATGTTCTTTAAATTTCTACACATTTCCAATGACAATTGTTTATTTTCTTTGTGTATTTTGGCTTAACTATTTTCTTATCTACTATTGTAGTTGATTGATGCATCAAACCCGGTTCATGAATGTGGACTATGCAAGATAGTATCTGGGTTTTATTGGAGTTCACGACTTCCATGATTTATCTCTGCGAATATTAGATAAAAAAGCATCAGTATGCAGCGCAAGGAATTTGTAGCTCTCTAATAAATATAAATTGTGTGTATAAGCGGTTTGGTTTGCTGAGAATTGTTCTATGTTTTTTTTTTCAACTGATATTTAGTTTTGTTGTTGGTTTTGTTAAATATTTTCAAGGTAAATTAAATGAGTAAGCTGAAGATAGACGATGTGGATGAAAATGTGGTTCCTCTCTCTTCCAAAAGTGTAAAGACAACTAATGTTGCATGATATACAAAAAAAAATAGATTGTAATATTCTCCATGAGTCCGATAAGGAATCAACATGTGATATAATTATTTTTATTTTTATAATTCTGACATCCAATACTTATGTCTTATTCAGCAATTTCGATACCAAATTATAAATCAATAAACAAAAGGTCTGCAAATAGTTAATTTAGAAAAATTAATTTTTTTAATAAATAAACAATAGATAAAAACATGTGAAACAATAACCAAAATAAGGTAATTAAGATTAACAACACCATGCATATTATTATAATTTACATGAATTATAAACAAATAAGAATACAACAACAAAGAACAATCAAGCAAAACACACCGTCCAACGGGCGGGTATAAAGCTAGTTTCATTTAAGTTCTTTGTTTTCCCCCAAGATATGATCTAATTCAGGTTTTATTTCCTTTAATTCTACTTAGCTTCTTACTCATTTCTTTCTGTTAGATTCTTCAGGTCAAGACATTTCCTTGGACATAGGACACTCAATTAAAGCTTAAGGATCTAGATTAGAGTAGTAGGTATGGCTACATGTGAGGGAGTCGGATTAGGTGCTAACCACTTAAGAGGTTAGTATCATACTAACTGTGTTATCAGCCGTACGATTAAAATTTAATCTGATTGTTAAAATTAATTAAAAGATAATTAGGTAAACACAATAACCATTAACCAAAACCCTAATATATATTGACTCCACCCCCAAGTGCCGCCATCCACTTTCATTTTGTGAAACCGTCCATTTCCTCTCTTTCTCCAAAACTGTCAATTCCTCATTCTCTCTCAACGACAGCGAGGCATCTGCCGACGAGAAGGGCCACTATGAAAGGTGCTTGCGACGGAGAGCGGCGCGATTGCGCTTCTTACGTCGGCGGGAAGCAAGCGATGGGTTGTGACGAGACGGAGGGCACAGTGCGGCGGGGTTGCATCGTGTTTCTGACGTCGACAAATCTGATGATGGTCTCAGATCTGTTGCATGTAGAGGGAGGGAATGGCCAGAAATAGAGAGGGAAACCGCCGGGGAGAGTTTTCAAGGGAGAGGAACCGTCAGATCTGTTAATATTTATTTCTTGACTTATGTAATCATCGGTAGGCAGAGTTTGGAAGGGAAGAGGCCATTTTTGGTTTATTCTGTGTGAATAGCACCAGACTAAGTTTTCCCACTGCTAGCTGTGATTAGTAGTGATTTGTGCAGTGATTGTGTTGTAGTGATTGTTTTCTACATATATTAGTATGTTGTAGCTATTTTTAGGTAGTTATTCTTATAGTAATCTTTGATTTTTGTTAACCGTTAGTAGTCGTTTGCAGCTTTGCATACTCTGGTAGTATTTGTGTAGTAGTGTTTCGAATTATAAACATCAGTGTGTAGTGATTATTTAATGGTGATATTCTTATGGTAATGAACATTGATTTTTTTAACAAGTGGTAGAACTTTGCACAATTTTAGTAGTAATTTTTGTATGCATTAGTTTTTTCAAGAATTTTTCATAGTGATTCTTATTTAAATCATTATCACTATTAATTAAAAATTCTTAAATCACTACTACCGACAATAAAATCACTACTAAAAATCATGAAATTGCTACTATAAATTTACAAAATCACTACGACTGTCAAAACTACTACTAATTTAAGTAGTAAAGAATTTAGTAGTCATATTTCCGATAAAAACTGACTTATAAAAGGGGGAGAAAATATTAAGTTTTTAATTAAATTTTTATATTTAATTTTTAAAATAACAAACAAGTCCCTCATTATCCACCGCCATCAGATTTAATTTAAAAAAATAAATGATAATTAAAGTAGTTAGCATGGTGCTAACTCCTACCAAGTTAGCACTCTAACTTCTCCCACATGTGAGTAGTGGAACAATTTTAAGCTTGGGTGTATCTTTGACCAAATTATGATCAGGTAGCCTAAACTAGCTACTACTTCTAATCCTTGCTTTGTCTCTCTGGCTTATCAATGTGGAAAACTTACTGAATAGTCACTTCCTACAAAGCTAATGCAACTAAAATAATTAAAACTAATCAATTATGCTTTGCTGTAGTTGCTTGGTCGAAATCATAACCTTTTCTTGCTCTAGGATTCCTATCGGTGCTTTATATAATGCATTTATAGTTTTTGCTTAAACTGCTTCATTGGTTTGAAAGGACAAACACTTTTAGAGAACTGAGTTTGAAGCTCAACTAAAATTCGAAGTTCAATTGAATTTTGACGGTTTTGAATAATATTATCTGGTGGCCAAGACTGTCTGGAATCTTTTATATAGCATGGTCCATGAAACTGTACCGGATATTGTACCGGAAAAGTCAGTGGCATGATATTTTATGATAAAATCGTGGTTTAACCGTAGTTCAACCGTTAGACCGCTAAATACCACCTACCGGTTTAGCCTCCGATACTGGTATTTCGTGGTTGAACCGCCAATACGAAACGATTTCATGGACAATGTTATATAGTGACAAATATGTAACACCCTACCCTATACTTTTTGCCTAATCATATTGTTCATACAATTGCAGCGGAATTAATCTTGGGTGTTACATTAATTATCAAAATTTACCTAAATAAAATTTCGACATGAATTACTCGCGTAATGGGCTAACAGTTCTTGCAACTAGACCTGCAAAATAATTTATCTAAATCCATGCAGTCATAGACAAACATTTACAATCACTGCCATATGCATTGGCTTTTCATAGCCATAGTCACAGTTTCATGTTCCACAACTGCATACTATACTGATAAATGCCATAATCGTCACAACTTACATAATTACACAAATATACACATATCATCAACTTTCCACACCTGTGGATATCTCACACTACATCAGAAGCTAGTATGCACATGAAAAACGTTCTCAAAACATTTTACAAAAAGGTGTGGATCACTGGCCAAAATCCCGAGTAGTAGTCCAAGCACAGAATAGTTGAAGACCATACCTCATCCTGGTTTCAACTCTAGCTCCTCTCCCACATAACACTTATCTACTGCTGCTACTGATGATCTGCTTACACATAGCATAAGCAGAGGAAAGGGATAAAAGAGGGTCAGCTCATAGCTGAGTGAGATAATCATAGCATCGTGAGTTCATAACAGAGCATACCCCTACCATACATCTAGCAAATAAGCCCAAGCACTAGGATCAGACCTCAGCCATCCGACATCCCAATGGGCAAAAGACTCAACCACCTTGACTTATGCATATGCGTCTTATCATGTTTTACTTATAGGCGCCTGGCTACTCCCATGCTATTACCTCTCCCGGGAAACATGCCCCACATCCCGTCGGATGTAGTCATACATACCCCAACATCTCGTCGGATGTGGTCATACATACCCCACACCACTATGGGTGTAGTCATACCCCGACACCGCTCTGGGTGTGGTCATATCTCGTAAGAAATCTTCAGTCACCACCACATGAGAGGTGTGACTATCATACATATCATAATAGAGTAATAGCATAGGGAGCCCTAATTACTATGTAGTTGACCGTGAGACCACAACACTCATATTTGGTATCCTTATACATGATTCATATCTCATCTTGCTTAATCATAATTCGTTACTTGGACATATTCTTGACCTGGCCACAATTGGCTCAACATAACCAGGAGTCGTATAATTGCACTTCCTCGGGATAAACCCTCATGCAAGTCATCCTCCTTAAACATCATAATATCACCCAGGGAAGTTTATTCCCCCACTTATGGATCCAAATACAACCATAATATCACATCATGTCAAAACACCTTATCGAACAACCAGGAAGTCATATCAAAAGTTAAGCCACAAATGGCAACATGTATGCAATCATCGACATAAACAAGGTCCATATCGATTAGGGCAAGTCAATAATATCATACAACCATCCATGGTTCATCATATAGCATAAAAGTCCATACACCCCTAATCATGCCATTCTAATTCACCTAGGTCAATTCTAAGCATCAATATAATTATCGTGATACGACAAACCCGGTATGTCGTGCTAATCCCTCACCAGTTCTGGTCGTTCGAACACCGGTTTAACCTTCCCGTACTAAAATGTCAATTTCACGAACGAACCCCGAATTAAAATCAGAGACCGTCCTAATATCCCCTGCAGTATCCCCGTCAATATTAGTTCTAGGCTCCGGGTCAAATTCTTGATAAAAACACATCAAACCCTGGCCGGAGCTAAATTCAGCGATCCCGGCTCCGACCTAAATAATAGCCGAAATTCAGGGATTAGAACTAGAGGATTGATTACCTCACTGCAGGGAGCTCGTATATGAAATTTGGGCTCAATCCGGCTTTCAGATACTCCAAAACCCTAATTTGCCTTATCGGGAATTCAAGAAATTCCTGAACCAAAAACTCGTTTTAAAGCTCTAAATCGATAAATCACGATGAATGGATGGATATAACTTACGGGATTTTTGAATTACTAATCCTCAAGAATCGAGCCATGAGAATTTCCCTCGTCCCTCCTCTGAACTGCTCCGCGCGCTGCTCTACCTCTGGGTAATTAAATGAGTAAAGAGAGAAGATGGAAATGGACCGGGGGATTTGGTTTACAATACTTATATATATATATGAAAGCAATCTGCCGCCTGCTTTCCGTTTACTTTTTATTTTTATTTCTTTTCCCCGGGCAATTCCTCTCACGGCGACACACAAGTAGGTGTGTAACTTTAATTAACATATATAATTATTATATGTATTACTATATATAAATATAGTAATTGGTATTTATCCGGTCGATCGATATTCCGATTTTCGTCGAAATATTGTCAAAACGCTCGATTTTAAATCGCAAACTTTCTAGCGATCGAAATATGGGTTTAGCCGAAACGGGATGTTACAAAATATACCAGAAACTACAGGGGGTTATGAATGCAGTCGTCATAAGGAAAATAGTAAATTTGTAAGAATGCAGAAAGCAGATGTCGTGGGAGATATTTTCAAGATCAAGAGACTTA